TAGTTATGACTGTCGAAGAGTTTTTATTTATCATTCAGGATGTTTAAAAAAAGCATCTTTTTGTAATATTTGAGGATTTTTCTGATGGTTCTCGCCGGAAGGGATGCGAAAGGTTTTCACTCTGAAAACTAAACTCAGGCTATCATCCTAATATCTATTATGCTATTATGATGTTGATTTCCTTTATAAAAGATATCGAAAAACTGGTTACTGATCCTGAAAGTGCTTCATGAGCTCTTTCAAATGGTATCAATACTAGGTTACAGAATAAATTGAATCTGTCCGAATATTAAATATATTTTTTTGCTTTGAAATCATAAATCTTGTATCAACATAACTTGACAATGACCATAATGTTTGTTTGCTAAATTGTTATTTTATATTGACTCTATTAGGTATGCGATGATGTTGCGAGACTAATTTAATTCCAATGCCATATCAATTAATCACCGCTTAGATTTTAATTACAATTTTGCAAACTTTTATTAACATCTAACTGACACGATTTGTCTACCTGCGGGCAACTAATCGTAAGTTGAATTTGATACAGATATTCAATAGAGTTAATAAAAAATAAATAATAAATTAAATATGCTGCGCCTTCTAGTCCAAGACCCTAAGAATGGAACCAATGACTGTGATGACCAGATTCATAGCATTAACGCTCGTATTCACAAACGAAAACGAACGAAGTCTCACAGTGCGCGTGGACGCACAGGGTGACACACGAACCAATCACAGAACTCTATTCAACGCTGTGTGTTGTATTTGCTGCTTCAATTATGCAAGCATCGTTTGTGAATACGGGCGTAAATCATGTGCATAAGTACAATAGAACAGTTTTACAGCAGCCACTCAGTGGACCGACGATCTGGTGAAGGTCGTGAAAAGCTCCTGGATGAGGGCAGCGCAGTGTTGTGGGACCGTGGGGGAAGCTTTAGTCTTGCAGTGGACAGAATTTAGTTGGAAAAATAAACGAAAATAAACTTGTGATAAAAACCTTATCGTCACTAAATAGCTTCCGCTTATATTGACCTTCAATGATTGGGTTTTTATTGGGGGTCAAACTGTAGGTCCTGATTACACAGGAGTTGCAGTTGCAGGTGGGAATGAGAGGTGAGAAAAGTCCACTGCTGGACAAAGACCTCCATCCAGGTACTTCACGCGGCCCTCACTATCGGTCTTCTTCTTCGTCTTCATCGTCGGTCCACCTAGAGGGGGGGCCTGCCCACGCTACGTCTTCCAGCCAGTGGTCGCCACTCGACCAACACATAAGCGCATTCAAATGCATTCCAAAATAAGTATCAGACGTTCCAAATCATACTAAGTTAACTCAATGCCCGGCAAATGAGGCATGTCCCGTTTAACAGAGATATAAAGCCAATTGAATAAGCGTGACGTGATGCGTGACCGATGACGTCACTGAAACTGACTCGAAATAACTGATAGAGTAACTGTTAAGGCTGCGCGTAGGACACAAAGCTTAGAGAGAAGTAACTTTAGGCAATTATAGTCCATACATCTTGGGAATACGGTGCATTTTGGCTAACGCAGCTGTATGTTAGCTTTTTGCATCGTTTTTAGGCTTCATTCAATCGACAAAAACAGCAACAAAAACCAGTTAGTTACATTAAGGATCTGAAAATAGGTAGCTCTCGAAAAAATTAATAACGGATTTTAAAATAACCTACTTTGAAAGAAAAATTTTGTTCCAAAATGTCTAACTACAATAGTATAGGTACTCATTTTGGCGTACGGAACCTATGAAACAGAAAGTTTGCAATATAAAACACTGTATTTTTTAAAAAACAATGAAGGTATCTATGTGGTTACAACGAAATCACCAAATATACATACTTATTGCGTACTTAAGATTAGAAACAATGTGTGGTTTTACGCGTTTTAAAGCTTGCGAAATAGTGAAAGTCGAGACAAGACTTCAAAGAGAATAAGTACCTAAATAAAAGGGTTCTTTAAAGTGGTCCAGAATAAAGACTGAATTTCCTGTTATAGATTTTAGGCTGTGAGAGGCCGTGTTTGTTCCGGTGTTTATTCTCAGCACTTGCCATATGTTTGTCTCGAAGCACTGTTATGGCCCAAAAGATAAGGAGACGTGTATTCTCTCGAAGCGCTGGTAGGGCCCAAAGGGCTTAAGGGCTACCTTTTTTACTTTATTTGACGTTCTTTAGTGCCATCAGTGGTCAAATTGAATAAAATATTTTTGATTTTAGTGGTCTATTGGAAGAAGATATTTAGACCGATCACAAACTTGTATCTAATCCAGATTAATTTCAATCAAAATCAAAATTATCTTTATTTCTTAAGACTAATTAAATTAGTTCCTACAAAACGTCAAATGCTCTTAAGGAGCCTATACAATACATGTCTCATTCTTTTTTTGCCCTACCAGCGCTTCGAGACCAACATTTGGCAAGTCCTGAGAAGAAGCGCCGCAACAAACTCAGTCACCACTGTCTGCCGGTTTTCATTATAAAGTACTAGCTTTCTGGAATGGCTTGGAATTTTGTCTGTCACAGAAAAACTTTATCGCGCGCGGAGGATTCCGTCAACTGGGACCGCAATTAACTGGGACCGCGGTCCCAGTCGCCGGATGCGTAAAAATTAAATAATTTTCTTCCGGCGACTGGGACCACTCATGGATTTTAGTACTGTACCAATTTTAGATTGAATAATATTTTCTTTTAAGTTATCTATGAGTGGTCCCAGTCGNCTTCCGGCGACTGGGACCACTCATGGATTTTAGTACTGTACCAATTTTAGATTGAATAATATTTTCTTTTAAGTTATCTATGAGTGGTCCCAGTCGCCGGAAGAAAATTTTTTTTTTTATGGATCCGGCGACTGGGACCGCGGTCCTAGTTAATTGCGGTCCCAGTCGCCGGAAGCCTCTTTACCGTCCCTGTTTCAAAAACCGGGATAAAAACTATCCTACATCCTTTCCCGGGACTCAAACTATCTTTATACCAAATTTCATCTAAATCGGTTCTGTGGTTTAGGCGTGAAAGAGAGACAGACAGACAGACAGACAGAGTTACTTTCGCATTTATAATATTAGTATAGATTTTCAAGCGCCGTTAATTTCAGCGCGCAATCCTGAAATTAATGCTCGTATACTGAAACAAAAGCCTAGCGCGTTGATGTCTTTTGGTATTAATTAGTTGGCGGTAATATTAATTGGTATTATTGTCACAAATTATTCAAATTAATTACTTCTCAGGCAGTATATAATAAAACAAAGCTTTCGATTAGTATACGACTAAATTAAAAAACCGCTACAGGAAATGGAACGGTCTACAAAAGAAAGAAAATCTGTTACGGTAACAATCATTATTGTTTTATTTTTGCATGGCTCTGAGTCAATTATTTGACACTTAAGTTCGAATCAGAGAACAATTTTAGTGGTAAAAAGACAACGGGAAATAGAGCCTTTACGTAACTAACATTCGTGTCTCTTTTTGATGTCTCACTTAGTCAAATGTGTATAACCTATTTATTGTTTGTAAATAATACATATGTAATTTGAGTATTACAAGCCCTTATAAAAGGACATTGTCAGAAACCGCCTAAAAAACCGCCCAAAAACATTAACCCATCATAATTATTTTCTATTTTTTTTAATACATTAAGCACCCTTTCATTCTAATGGACACTTAAGCATTGAAAAATTAAATAAATAAGTCTTTTAACGTTTATTATATAATACTATTACAACTTCCGGACGTTTTGGTGCGTGGCATGGTCTAAAACCTATCAAGTTCCATAATTTTTGCCGATAAAATCTGTANTATCTTTTATAATAATTTTACTTTAATATTTTCACTATGTTACAAAAAACAATAATATATTTGCTCGGAAAACTTACCCCAAATTACACCGTTAAGAACTAAACTAGGACTTTAAATCAAGTTTATCATTCGGCATACATTGATATTCCTGATGAAACTTTGAATACTAAAGTATTTTTCAAATAGACAGTAAAATCCACCCTGTATTTTGATATTGTCGAGCGAGGTCTCTTATAAAATATCATACAGGGTGGAATTTTGTAATGCCACCTGGAGGGAAAGTTATCTTTCTTTTCAAAAATAAAGAAATTTTTTCTTTGAATTAAATTTTCTATCTACGGTATTAAAAGTACTTTCCCACCAGGTGGCGTTACAAAATTCCACCCTGTATAGCAAAACAAACTTGACATTACTTATTTAGTTTTCTTTATTCTTTGTCTACAATATTAAATCACAATGCATTTGAGTCATTTGCATAATAGTCAAATTAGTCTCTACAAGTAATCGAACCTGCAGCGAGGTTAAACTCATCATCTACCGACAGCCGTAATTACGTAAGAATGTCTGTTTGTCCCACATCTAGTGTTATATAATATTATTTATATACTTGTTGACATAATTGCTAATTTATACAACTACCTACCGTCTCTAACTGGTTTTCCTGCTTTGTGGGAATTAGAAAACTGATCTTAAACTTGTAGGTGTAATAATTCTGACTGAGAGATTATTAAGAATTTAATATTTTTTATAATACTCACATCGATTTTGGAATATACCTTAGTATCAAAGTTGATCTTAAGTATTATGAAATCAAATACTAAAATAAAAGAAATAACAAAAACTAAAGACAATTCTAATAAAAAGATTTTCCTTCAAGGTTCATCAATAAAAACTTTTTGGCTAATTAAAAATTTTCCTCTTTTCTTAATGCCTCATTATTAAATACATTTTATTTATGAATTTATTTTATTTAATGTTGTAAAATAATATTAATTATAATAGTTCATTGCCCTGATCAATCAATTTAATTGGGTCAAGGTCATTTTAATTATCTGAATATAATCATTTCAGTATTATGGGTATTTCAATAAGAGAAATAAATTAAAACTTTCTTCTATACATATTTTATTACAAAACGAAACGACTTAAGACTAGTTTCGGCTTACATATAAAATATTAATTTATTCGTATAAAAATAACCTTATTCTAAATAATAATTACATCAGTGTGATTTCATGGTTACAATAATCTACGTATACAATGGATATATAATTTGCATGCAAAAAATATACTTTTTATATTAAACATCTCGTGAACATTTTGTACCTCTATTTGTCTTTGGCATGTTAATAACATCCTGTCTCAAAATATATTATTATTATAAATCTAACTTTATTAAATATGGCTTTTACTTTAAAAGGACGGAAATAAATTTTACAGTAACACTAAAAGATCTTAATTTAAAAATCAAAATTGTAAACATGAATAATGGTACATCAGGCACGCACTTACATAATGTTGCAAACCATATGTCAAATTCACTTAGCATACATATTGCGTAAAAATTAACATATAGAAGGCCCAATCGGGCGTAACACAACAAACGCTTACAAAACAACCATTGACACAGAGTTACCTAACGTGACCTCAAAAAAGTACCTCGATCCACGATTTAGTACTGCGCTAAGTACCAATTTTGAGGTCACATTTTTCTCATACTTATCTAACGAACTCGACGCGCAAGGCTTCTCGTTTGGCCAAACGAGTTACGAAACCTACCGTCGAGAGATATGCCACTTCTACTTGGTGGGGACTCGATAGTTTGGACCCGAGCGCTGGAGATTGTAATTACGCGGCCAGAGGGACGGGGGGCCGCATTGACCTCCCGCCCGGCCGGGGCAAGGATCAAACCTCAGTCAATTCAACTAACCTAATCAAATGCCTAATTAAGAACACGGAATGTCTGAGTCATCTTTCAAGAACCAAAAGCATGCCTCGAAAGATTCGGTAACTTTCAAACGAAAGCAAATTATTATTCAGGCAATCGAATCGAATTCGAAATATGGCGGTCGCGTTGTGACGATAATACTGAACTAGCACTCCGTCTCACCTTCTTTCCTCTCCGTGATGTAGTGCTCCACTTCTCGTAAAGAATGGAACAGTTTCCACGCGATAATAGCACCAGTTATCTCGACTATGGCTATCAACAGAGACGCTCCAGCGATGGAAGAGCTGATGATCTTCGTGTAGACAGAAGCCACTTTAGCACAACCTAACCGTTCGTTCGCTTCTTTGTCCGTAAAGTCGCAAGTCGCTCGGTAGTAGCTGTCAGCGCAGCACGTCAACGGCAAGTCGTTTCTGAAGCTTCTGTAGTCACGAGCATCGTTAGCTCCACAGCACCTCAACCTCCGCTCAATCCGTCCGAACGCCCTCAAAGAGTCCGGGTTCGACTGGGAATTGTAGTATCCGTCGTACACTGTATCTTTGATGAACCGATCCGTGTATTCACTGTCGACGAAAACGAATATCAGGGTCGCCGATATGACCTGCAGAAGCACTATTAGCACAATCACTGCACCGTAAATGCCGAGTAAGCCTCGGCTTTCCTTCTGAGCACCGCACCATCCACAGAAGGCCACGAACATGATGAGGATGCCGAGGAGGATGAAGAGCCATGGCGCGACTTGGGGCCAGTAGACTCGGTAGTCCAGGAGGTAGTGGTTGCTGTTCCTCAGGCTGACGAACTCGGTCAACTGGACGAAGAACCACAGTCCGGTGGCGGTGGTGGCAAGTCCAAACACTGCGAAGACCACGTTTACGCAGTAGAGCGCCGCTTTCATCATATCCTCTTTAGCCATGGTGACGCGTCCGTTCTCGTGCGCAGCTGACAACGGAATGAGATGCGCGCGCGGTCTGCCACTGGTTTTATTAACGTGCGCACGCGCAGCTCTAGGGCTGCCACATGTCGATCTAAGATCCGAAAAACATTGCCAGTGAAAGGAATGCACTTTGTCGATTTATTAAATCACTCGAAAGTGTGTCACGGATTGGGAAATTAAATTTGTCTGTTGTGTCTAGGATTGTTGGTAAATTAAAATTTAGATTGCTTTGGATATGCATTTATTTTCATAAAATTTTGATTTCATAACATAATCAAAACAAGCGTAGGAATTTTGAGCGCAGTAATACATTATACACATCTTTTCGTTGATACAATCGGTCATTAAATAAACAATATCGCTAGAATTTACCACAAATAAATAAACCTTAATGAGATTCTAATTACTTTTACAAGGAAACCTCAAAATTATACAAGTCACAATATTTTAATAACTTAAGGAAAAGTCTTTAGGAAAAAAAAGTGTGTAATAATAATACGCATTATTTTTGCATCTTTATGTTTTTAACGTTTTTGGTGATCTTGTTTTGTATTAAAATCTACATATTTTATTACATATTTACCTGTCCAATACCTAATTGATGATGGGGCAACCCTTTTCTATTTGCATACTGATAACAACGCTGCTGTTTACATTTAAAATTTGTTTGTAAACAATCGCTCAATAAAAACATTACTCACCTTATTTTATTGATCAATTACGTTCTGTTACATCTAAAATGCTTACGATGATGGAAACGCCTTGTGTGTGAGTTATTTGAAGAATTTGATATGCTTTCGATTTCAATTCCAAATATTTGGTGACAAAATGGTCTCTTTTACGAGAACTTGTGTTTGTTCCTAAAACGCTTATTTAAATTTGCAGTTTTATGTTCTAGGGCCCATATCATAAAAGTGAACTTAGTTTCATATTAGTCATACTATTAACGACTTATTATGAAACCACGTTCACGAGTGAGTAGTGCTATAGCTAGGTCCCGACCGGTTCTACTTTGACACACTTTAGTTTTTCTATGTCGATGACGTAATGAAGGTGTGATCCGTTGCCTCACACTAAATCTCAAACGTTTAGAAGACTAGCAAATTTCTCGTAAACTTGTTTACAACTTTTGCCGTGGAATTCTTTCGATAGTTAACTACCATCTTAAATCAGTCGAATAATCTCAATATAGTACAATAGTGACTCACAATCGTGATGTTTATTATGGGGCACCTATTACTCGGCAAGGTAGAGGTGTGTGTCTTTGCTAAACAAATTCCACGGGCCAAAGCAATTTATGTACTGTGACTCATAATTTTTAATAGAAACATAAAACCAATTTGCAGATGAATCAGTGTTCTTAGAAGTATTGATGGAAATCGGATATTTAATATATCATCTGACTATATACCTATAAGTTTAACGAATCACTACCCTTTGTAGGTCATGCACCTACCTACAAAAATCCTCATCTATAAATTATGATGTTCAATGGGAAAAGAGTGTGAAATAATTACCTAATAAATACAAAAAACATTCATTATTTCATTGTATATCAAAACTTAGCATTCAATCATAAATTATTTTACAATAGTTATCTGTTTCGTCAGTCAACAAGAATACATTTTAATTATAATATTACAGCCTTAGATCTTAGAACATTATTTCGTACATCATTTTTCATTTACTTTACATTACATAGAATAATTTCTGAGATCTTCCACTAGTTCATTGTGTTACCTGCGTGTGCGCATAAGGAAAACAATAACAAAAATCTCAGACACATTTCAAGGTAGCAATTTTTGCTCAACTTAAACATTACAACTAAATTCTAAATAGTTATTACAGTATAATAAATTCGCTATTTTTCAACCATTTGACATAATTTAGAAAACTCATCCTTAACAATAGAATATTTGGATAGAACAGGTAACATTTCACACTGGAATTTCCTAAGCATGACAAACTTTATTAATAAGTTACTAGTTTGAAACATAAACTAGTTTATAATTGCTAAGTAATTGAAGATTAATTGGAAAAGTAATATCCGTCACGAAAATTAAATGACTAACAATACTTTGTATATATTTACACAATCAGCATTTAATACTATTTATGAGATATTTCCTAAAGTAACAATAACTTAAAGACAGGTGGAATATGTCACAAAACTTACATAAATTGTGATGTTAGCCGTTTCTTATTAATAACTATAATTAAATTACAATTGGGTAAAACTTTGTACCAAATCGTTTTGCTTCGAACAAGCTAAAACAAGAACACAAAATAAATACATATAAAATAAAATAAACCAGATTATAAACTACTTTTTGAAGTTCCTACTTGCGTAAGACAGAAATCAGTCAGTTGACACATAAATGGAAAATCAACTTAACAAACTGCACCTAGTTAGTCACTTTCTACAAACGAGAATTGAAAAACTAAGTTACTAACACATTACAAAACGTGCCTCAGAGCTGTCCCTTGAGGTACCACATTACGTAACCTGCTATTCCAAATGGAACTTTAACGCGAACTAAAATGACTCAGATTCGGATGACTCATCCTTTACAATAGCACCTTCTTGCTCTCAAATTCTACTTGCGCGTTTTCCACTTTTCGAGGTCTTCTTCCTAATTTTTTGGATACTTGGATAGATGTCAGAAGATTTGCAATTCCCACCACTGCGATTAGTATTGATATGGCTGATAATACCTTGACGGCGATGCTGGAATATTGCGTTGCGACTTCAGTGCAGCCGTGACGCTCGTTCGCCCTTTTGTTCGTGATATCACAGTCGATGGCGTATGGCTCCAAAAACCCGTGATAGTTCACGTCACAGCACGACTGGGGGAAGTTGTCCTTCCAGTTCACGTAGTCTCTTGGTCCGTCAGCTCCGCAGCACTGCATTCTCTTCTCGATGGTCCCGAACGCAGTCGCCACTTCTTGATCCGTTTTCGATTGGAAGTAAACATCCCATATCGTATCTTTAATGAAATCTGACGCCACTTTGTTGTCTACGAACACCAACGCCACTATAGCTGCAGTGATGGCCGCGAATATGGATATCGAGACAAAAATCACGTGAGTATAAACGAGTCCTTTGCTAGACTTCTTGGCACCGAACACTCCGCAGAAAGAAATCGAAAATACCAGGATTCCGACCAGGATGAACAGCCACGGGATCACTTGGGGCCAGTACAGGTTGTAGTCGAGCAAATAATGGTTGCTGTTCCGAAGATCGGTGATTTGTTTCACTTCGACGTAGAGCCATATCGCGGCACAGGCTAAGGCCAGCCCTAGCACTCCGTGGACCGAGTTGGTGACGTAAGCGCAAGACTTAGACATGGCGCGTGTGTATCGTTCTGCTGCCGACAATGAAATGGCGTGCGCCCGAGTGGTCGCGGCTATAAGACCGCCAATGTCACGAAGGCTTAGTGTCTTAGTCCTGGAGTACTTCCTTCGATGAGTAACGACGTGATATGGTTGAATTACGTCTTTCTGGGATGAACTAGGAAGTTTCCGATTAGTTGTTGTTGAATTAAAAGTGACTCAATTGTTATTCTGCGACGGTCTAGGATTTTGTGTCAATTGTGATAATGAAAAGAGGACAGGTGGCTCAATTTAGATACTGCGATATGCTTAGTATATTAGTAATAACTTCTTATTGAGTCTGGTTATACGAGTAAGACAATATAGGTCACAGTTTAATGTCGTAGTCGGTTTTAAGATAAAAATAAAACTTATTGAAGTGACTAATGCTTTTAAAGTAGCTAATGACGATAATATTACACTAAAATAATGTTAAATGACTAGTTTCCTTGTGTAATGTGTTTAAAATACGTTTCTTAAGAACAAATTCGTATAAAAAGAAGCGAAGATCTGCAGTTACTTAGAATTCAGTTGTAATGTACAAAACTCTCAAACATAATAATGTAAATAACGTCTGGAAAATAAATATTTATATTCAGTTATAAGTATTTACATTTTCTTGAAACTATTTCGTAGCTCACAAAACACCTGTAGCATACTTTTACAAGGTAAACACCCAGTTACAACTCGTGCATAAATGATTAATTTCAATGTTTTACAACTATTCTAAGGGTTTTAGTGCAATAAACGATTGACTATTGAGTATTGACATTATTTAATGTGTTTTGAAGTTATCTTAGGTAATTACTAAATTAATAAACTCTACCCTTTTGTAAAATGTTTATCGAAATGAAATTTAATAGAAACATGGTTGTACCAAGTTCAAACATTCATAGCAATGTTCCAAACAGTAACATTTGTGATAGTTCAAAGCTTCAGGATCACATAAATATTGGAAATACAATACAAAATATCGCTTCAAATAGTACTTTTAATGTACATTGTCGAAATGATAAAATTTAAATATATTAAACAAATAAGTATAAATTATTATGTAGTAAAATGTTTCTGTTACATATTTAATCTAGGTAGAGTTTAGCTTTACGGACAGTTAAGTTATTATAAAATGAAATTTCTTTTTCCCTGTCCCTGTCTGAAATACTAATTTATAACATTAAAAAAGTTATTATGTACCTCAGGAACCACCCACGCAGTTCCTAGTTTAAAATTAGCCTTGTCTAGTTTTAATCTAGACCAATTTAGTAGCTTGTGTGATAACGTAGTTCAACATAATAGTGAGCTAGTGTTCGTGCAAAACATAATCATCAAACATAGCATTTGGTGGGAATCTTTTACTTTTAACTGTGAAAATCTAAAAAAAAATTACCCACGCACATTAATCATCGATATAGGTACGTAGTTAGTCCATTTCTATGTAGATTTAAGTGTCAGACATTTTTAACTTCCTGGCGTCTGACATAGCTCAAGTAGACGGCTTGACGTGCCCTAAGCATGATTATTTTCAGACAATCATGACATATCTAAGAATTGAACTTAACAACACCCAATAAAACCTCAAGAGTCGAGAGAAAATTTTGACTGAAATTAAAATTAACTGCAATAAAAGTCAATTATGCCCATTTTCACCATCAATCCCTAATTTTTAAGTGACCCCTATGGTAACACATAACAGGAATTTTATTTACATACGGTTTTGATGGTGAAAACGGGCATGACCATTATTTTCTGCAAAAACGTTTTTAAAGCTTTAAAAAAAACCTGTAACGTATGACTAACTAGGAAACGCCAGGTTGAAATAAAATCGTCAACGTACTTAAATTATACTTAATTATGACCTAAAGGATAAAACGCGATATATCCTCAGCATTCTTGATCAGTTTATCAGCAGCACAAATACCTGTGAGTCACAGTTGATCTAACGTTATGTATCATACTACCATAATGACCCATAGAGGTGAGTACCATGGGGATTCATCTATAGGTGCTAATTTTGAGACGTGCTTATGATCTCAACTTAAGTACTTGCTATAAATCAATGGAAAACACTATATTTGGAAGTATTGTTATAGCCTCTTTGTTTGTATGGTTGGTGTGTATTGGTTAAAATTGTTATGGGATGTGTCAAAGTGCTTTTAAAAAGCTATTTGCAGAAAATAAATATAATTATGTATAGTATACATTAGTTCCCGTTAAATAATTTTCGAACTGCCGAATGTTGGTCTCGAAGCGCTGGTAGGGTAAAAAGATTATAAGACATGTAGACGCTCTTTAAGGACAAAATATTTGACGATATTTTGTAAGTACTATTTATCAGTCTATACAAATAAATATGAGAGCTACAACATTCTTTACGTGCATAAATCTATACAAATACCTGATGTTTATTACTAGCTTAAACTTGTTACATCTCTGTTGTTTCAACGATGGAGTAGAGTCCTTAGAAGTAGGTACTGAATCATTTTTCTTATAATATAATTAGATTAATCTAATCATGCTATATACTCGTAGGCATGATGCTCGCAAAGTAAATTTACATTCGTGATTCTCATCTGGGAATCGAACCCATGACCTCTGACTTTAGTACTACTCACTACACTACAAAGGCTTCTCTCTAATCACTGATAAGAAACACATTTTCTATCTTTTATCAAAACTATCACACCAGAAGAAATATTTCTTCTTTAGTTTCTATTGACAAAAGTCAATTGTCCAATATTGATAAAGTTAACTTATTGACCGACGAAGTAGAAGTCTTTTGGGTATTCGTTATATCAATTAACGTCGTTTATTCATTGCAAGCGTCCAATCAATTAGAGACAAAGAATTAGTTTGGCCATGGGGACGAGCAAAACAACTACTGGCTGATTTATGAATCGACTGAGAAACGCGTGTTACAACTTTTGACCATAAGGTTTACTATTTATGAGAATTTTACTAAACATGACAGCTGAATGTAAATTGATACTGTGAAATAAATGAAAAAAGTTTTTGTTTTTAATAATATTTTATTAAAAATGAGGTATATTGCTTAAAACTAAGTTACTGGACAAAATAATTTACTGGTCTACTCAAGTAAAAAAATAAGTCGTTTTAGTGAACAACACAAAGTTTTTAAACAATAATTTATTATTATTACTATAGTAAAAAATACTTTTTGGTAACAATTGCATTATAACTAAGACTATGTACAACACATTCAGTAAATCGGAATTGCAAAATTATTATTTACTTGATAAACAATTAACTTGCAACACTAAAATCGAGTAAATGCTCCATTCCAAATTACGTACGTAACCGCAAAAATATAAATATCACACATCAGTTCGAGCACACACTATTTACAAAAGCCTATTCTAACTTTCAATTAATTACAAAGGTACTTTCAATGGTTCTTGTTCAGGTGTGGAGTTGAATCTATCGGATTTACTTTTTCTCGATCTGACCAGTAAAATAGCGACGATCAAGCTGCCCACACTTAAAATGGCAATGGCCAGAGATGCAACTGAGGTATATCTCATGAACATACGAGTGTAAGGCACGGCGACCTGAGCGCAGCCTAACCTCCTGCTGGCAGCGTTCTCACAGAAAGCAGCATCCTGGTAGTCGCAGCAAGATGGCGGAATCCTCGACTGAGTGTAATCCGATGATCCTTGGATCCCGCAGCACCTCAAACGCCTTTCAATGTTGCTGAACGCGTCGATCACTTCCTTTCGCACCTTCATCTCTGAGTACGCATCACTGACAGCACCGGAAATGAAGTCATCTGTCTCTTTTGCGTCCGCGCATGTAAACCCGAGCACACCGGCGGCGAACGCTGCCAAGGTCACCAGCGACAGAAACACAACGTACACGTACAAGGACGATTTGTTCTTCCTGCAGATCCCGTAGAAACCGCACAGGTTGACGAAGATGACTGCGATGCTGATGACGAGGAAGACCCATGGGAGCACTTGAGGCCAGTACAACGTGAAGTCCAATAAATATCTGTCCTTGTTCCTCAAATCGGTGATGTTCTTCAGTTCCACGAAGAACCACATCGATACGCAGGCAAGAGCGATCGAGAGGATGGTTTGGAGGATATTGAGCACGGTGGAAATAAATTGTAGCGCGGCCATGTTTACGTTTGGCTCGTTCAGTCGGTAATGATTGGATCGGAAGCGCGGCGGAGGCTTATATTGTTCGATGACCACAATGACTCATGCCGCGTTGGTCTGGACTCATGGCATTACGTACATGGGGTAATATGACGGGCTTAAGAAACAAGGGAGATGATAATATTGTTTTGAATGGAAACACGCATGTGAATCTTTTAGGTAAACAATTGTTAATGACGACCGAGATATTAAATATTAGAATTCTCAAATATAATTCATCACTCAATCTTTAATACTATTTATAAGACTTATTTAATCTTATAATTATAATAATTATATTTATTTATCAGAAAATGAATTACATACAAACATGTGTTCTTAAAACTAAAACATTCAAGTATATGACTTCCTAAAACATTACAAAAAGGAGCCAAAATAAAGTTGCAAAAACACCTTTTTGCTTCGCAATAAACTATGATGATGGTAATTAGAAAATATGATATTATTTTCTTTAAATAATCCTACATAATAGCGTTTTAACATTCCGTCATATTATGCTTTGTTCATTCTAAATTATTGTCAATTACAACGTGCCCTGAATCAGGCAATTTGTTGAATCTAACTGAATCTCTTCAAGCTTTACAATCTTTATCTAGACTCAAAAGTCCTACAAATTACAGGATAAATTACAAAGTATAAAATTGGAGGCAGATAAAAATATTACGTTACAAATCCAAACCATTTGCTATGCTCGCTACACGTTATAGGATTTGTAAAGCGGAAGTAAACCGCGACCTCGAGTCGATCTCATGTTTACTATTAACATCTAAAATGAATAGTGGCTACTCACTAACTAAACTAGGTAGCACAGTGACACAGTGATTGAACTAGAGGTCCCAGTTTCTATTCTAGACTTCTCAAATTATGATTATTTTAGGTCTTTACAAATAAAAATTCGCGTCAGACTAA